AAGTTGTGTCTTTGCTTTCATTATAAGAGTTACATATTTAACAAATTAAGCATATATATATATATATAAATAATATTATGGCAATATTTGACAAGGAACATTTAACAAATCAAAAAGTTAAATAAGATTAGTGCAAAAAAAAATTCAAATAAAAAGAAAAACACAAAATATCATAACCTGCACTTCTTCCCCCTGTTATTTCACATCTTTTTTTCCCCTGTTATTTCACATCTTTCAATTTCAATTCTTTCTGTAACCAAAGTACAGTGACCTTTCAGACATTTCTCTGATAGGCAACATTGCCCAAAGACAGATTCAGCCGTGCCCATTTGCCCCGAGCAGCCCCTTGGCACTGCCCACGGCCCGTACCTGGTGCATCTCTCATAGGGCAAGAAAAGAGCAGGGATGCTCCATTTGGTGGCCTTAAAAAGAAAGGCCAATCTTTTTTTAATAATGTTAAACCTAGTCTGACCACATGCTAAAAAATTTGAAATGTATTGATTCAACAAAAAAAGGTCTGAAAAAGAATGCGCCTACATCAAAACTGTGTCAGTGTGTGTGTTCGCATATGTGTTTGTGTAAGTGTGCAAAAAAAGTGAGATTTGAAAAAAATAAATAAATAGATTGACAGATAGACAATGAGCAGTAAAGCTGAGCGTAAAGAGAAAAAGCAACAAGCAAACAAAAGCAGGTTTGATGCTTATTAAAGAAAATTGTAACACTGGCATTATGAAACAGTAACTGGGCTTTTCTTGCCTTGGGATATTCTAAAAAATTCATCAGACTGACAGCGGGAACCACAAGACTGATCAGGGCCTGACAGAGAGGTTCGGACGGGGATCAGACACAAACGCCCCCCTTGCCAACACCCAAAATCAAATCAGCAAAAAGACCCGCCGTGGTGACACACCATCACCGTGGTGACAGCCTACACTGCGCCCGCCCGCCCGCAGTCCCGCTCCCAAATCCATTCTCTCCAAACATTCAGTCTACCGCGTTCTAAACTATGCGCCCCTCGCATACACACACATACACTCTTGTTATGTGCGTTTGCTGCACATAAGGGGGTAGCTGATGTTTGATGTATAATTCATCTCAAAACACCAAGCAATACTCTTTATTCTGTTCTTTTAATGTCTAATGTAACATAGCTTATGTGATAGCTCAACCCGGACTGTAATGAGGACCGAGTACCTGAGTCAGTTCATCAAAAGCAAGGTTATTATAGAATGAATAAACAATGTAAATTCAGCAATAATACTTCATAATTCATCATTATGACCTCGGAAAATATGAATCATTTAAACCTGTTAATTATTTTTGAAACAAATAATGTAACGAAAATGAAAATGTGATACTTCTGCATGAACATACACAGAGGAGATATCCTAAAACGTGGCGAATAAAAAAGCGTGTATATTTCATACATTTCTAAAAATTAATTGTTTGGATTTTATTGTAGATCTAAAAAGTCCTCTGACAGCATTAAATGTTTATTATGATCAGGTAAGTGGCAGGGGATCAGAATCTATTATCATTAATGTAATGCTGTTAGTTCTAACATAGAGAGCAATAGAAAAGCTCCCTACGGGCATCAGTCAGTCTAACTATGAACACAGACAAGAGGAAGATGCAGTCACAGCTACTGAATATCAAACCTGAAGCACAGAATCCAGCCTGACTTTGCACCGTATCAACTGAAATAATAAGCTTTAGAAATATTTATGAGATAAATTGCTGGTAATTACAGGAATTAATGCAAATAACAGCAGACACGTTCGAGGATGGGTGAAAACACTTTATTAGGCTGGAGGTCACTTTATTAGGCTGGATTTTCAATAAAGAGGTTATTCTTCACTCCTTTTTATGCATGTGCTCTTTTAAATTTATTTGAGATATTGTCCTGCATCTCTGAAAACATACACAGAGGAGATATCCTAAAACGTGGCGAATAAAAAAGCGTGTATATTTCATACATTTCTATAAATTTATTGTTTGGATTTTATTGTAGATCTAAAAAGTCCTCTGACAGCATTAAATGTTTATTATGATCAGGTAAGTGGCAGGGGATCAGAATCTATTATCATTAATGTAATGCTGTTAGTTCTAACATAGAGAGCAATAGAAAAGCTCCCTACGGGCATCAGTCAGTCTAACTATGAACACAGACAAGAGGAAGATGCAGTCACAGCTACTGAATATCAAACCTGAAGCACAGAATCCAGCCTGACTTTGCACCGTATCAACTGAAATAATAAGCTTTAGAAATATTTATGAGATAAATTGCTGGTAATTACAGGAATTAATGCAAATAACAGCAGACACGTTCGAGGATGGGTGAAAACACTTTATTAGGCTGGAGGTCACTTTATTAGGCTGGATTTTCAATAAAGAGGTTATTCTTCACTCCTTTTTATGCATGTGCTCTTTTAAATTTATTTGAGATATTGTCCTGCATCTCTGAGAGCATGTTGACTCTTTTACACAGACAAGAGGAAGATGCAGTCACAGCTACTGAATATCCAACCTGAAGCACAGAATCCAGCCTGACTTTGCACCGTATCAACTGAAATAATAAGCTTTAGAAATATTTAAATTGAGATAAATTGCTGGTAATTACAGGAATGAATGCAAATAACAGCAGACACGTTCGAGGATGGGTGAAAACACTTTATTAGGCTGGAGGTCACTTTATTAGGCTGGATTTTCAATAAAGAGGTTATTCTTCACTCCTTTTTATGCATGTGCTCTTTTAAATTTATTTGAGATATTGTCCTGCATCTCTGAGAGCATGTTGACTCTTTTATTAATGTAATTTTCTAATAAAAAGCATATTACAAATGTATCAGAGGTGGTGTGTTGTGTGCATGTTCGCACTTGTGCTTCTTTCTTCTGTCAAAAAAGTGAATTCTTCAATAAGAATAAATTGTTCTGAATTCAGTATTATGCACATATGAAATATATAAGCAGAACAGCAAATAAGATTTTTTTTGTAAGGTAGAAGATTATAAAGCAGAAAAGAACATACAAGAAAAACAAAAAGTTATCAAATGTCTATGGGCTGTGTGGCACTATAGAACATAAATCACAGGTGAAAAATAAATGTAAAAGTGATGTTTGGAGTCTATAAACTCAATAGCAGGAATTTGAGCTGAGAAAATTGCAGGTTGATTCTGAAACATGGCTTATGTGTTTCTGACTTCTATTCAAATTGAAAAATGAAATTCTGTCTGAACGAAGCCAGCGGCAAAGTTACACAAGTCTTAAAGTATATAATTAATGTTGCAAATTTGACAACCACAGCAAACAGTCCGTCAACGCACACTGAATCCAAATGGTTTGAAACTTGTCTTTCCACACACTACTGTATATCACTGCTGAGCAGTTTAAGGATTTCTAGGCTTTTTTCCATTAAACAAGGTCAAAGCAATCATTCTGACTGCAAGGAACATGAAATTTTAACATTACACAGAAGAGCACACTATTTTAGGATGTTAATTAATTCCAACATTTTAAGATTTTTAAATATATTTTGTGTCAGTGCTCATCAAATATGCCAAAATTCGATAAAGTATGCTCTGTACTCACAAAGATAAAGCATAATTAAAGAGCCTGTTTAATGATCAAAAGAATTTTTAAATGTTTTTAAATTAAACTTCATTAAGCATTCTGGAATATTAACAATATTGAAATCACTGAAACAGAACTTTTCATAATTATAATAATGAGCATTAATATAAAATTGTCTATATATATATATATATATATATATATATATATATATATATACACACACACACACACACACATATATTATATCTT